TTGACTCCTGTGAGGGGAACAATGAGTACCTGTCATGGGAAAATCCACTACAGGGATGTCACCTGTTTTTGCCAAATAGAGCCAGGACAAATATTCTACCAATACTTTGACTTGAAAGAGCAAATCCTGCAACTAATAATGAAAATCGTCAGATTTTAGAATCAAAGACATTGATTTTCCACCCTGTTATGGGACAATAACAGGGTGTGATGTTCCATTCCACACATGTTTTTATGAAATATTGTTACAGAAACATTAAGTACTGTGAAATTTTCTGTGCCATGTTGGGAGTTGAAGACCAATAAATGCAAATATTGGTATAAATTTTTTAAATTACCAATATTTTCAATGCTGTCAGTAATAATGGGTAAAAAAAACAGTTTTTTCTTTACAATACAGACATAAATGATTTGTAACTTGATGATGTGTTACAATTTCAAGAATAAAACATATTATATAGTAAAAGGGACACAGTCTTTTTAAGAAAAAGTCATTATTTGTTAAACATGTCAGTGCTGCAACAAAATATTTAAAACTTAAAACATTAATACTTTTTTTTTTTTTCAAAAATCCTGAGGCCGAAATGTTGCCGCAAAAAAGAATCACCGTTTTGTAAGGAAAACTGATCTTCCCGTTATTTTATTTATGTTGTTATAACGCAGTACAGCAAGGCAGAGTGTGGAAAGTAGTAGAGATAGACAACATGGCGGACGGAGGACGGATATAAGGACGGAGCCATGAAGCCGGTATGTATTATGTACAGTCACTGCTTTGATTCCCGACTGTATAGTGGTTGGTTGAGAATAATTTTAACTTATTCACTTATGTATTTTTGAGAAAGCAATATATTTGCTACAATATTTTTTTAATTTTACATTTATTTCCACAGACTCCACAGAATGGGAGTCACATTTGTGTCAATCAGACTCTTCAGGAACGTCCTGATGTCCGTGATGAGGACAGAGATGCAACTGTGTGTGAGTATCTACTATTTTAGAATGTTGATATTTTATGCTTCAATATTGTTTATGTACATAATGTAATTATGCTATGTATTGACAATGCACAAAAATGTTTTCCAGCTGCATCCAGGATCTACTGCCAGTCATCTGGATGTAGCGAAATAAAGAAGCAGGTAAGATTTATTACTAATCTAGAGATGTCACAATTCCTTGAATGATTAAAGTACTGTGATTTATTAAAATCCATCAAAGCAAATTATCTGCCTCAGTTTGTTGAACTATGTTTTACTATTTATTACCAACTGCTTTTAATTCTTTTTTTTCTTCCAATTGTTTCCAAGTGTTTTCTCTTTTTCATTAAAGTTTTTATTTTTTGTAAGAATATATTTGTTTGTTTTAATGTCTTATGTGTGCATACTAAGCTGGGAGTTGCCAAACAATTTCACTATAGTTTCATAATGACTAATAGATGCCTGTAGCTCATAATGATTGTCTGTTCTGTATTAACAGCTGATGGAGGAAGGCAGAGAGTACTGGTAGCAGAGGAGGTGGCATTCTGGGAGGATGGCAGCTATGAGGCGGTGTCAGGATGGACCCCAAGTTCCTCCAACCAGGACCTCAGTGACATCAGGACTGCATTACAGGAAGAGACGTCAGGTCCACGCTACAGGAGAGATGTTGGGCCTGTCCTGAACGCAGCATAATGTTTGATCATGTTTGGACAAAAAAACACTGCCAGATAGTCCAGAAATGGACAAGCGTTTATGTCTTATTTTGTGTGCAAACAGTAAAAAAATAAAATGAAATAAAGAAAACAAACTTATCTCTTTTATGTTCCTCATATATGAAAATGTTGCATATAAGCAATATCAAATGAATATATTTTAATACAGCATTTATTTTTATATAGATTTTTTAAAATACAGCATTAAAAATATTAATGATTGGGGCGGGGTTTATTTATAAAGTCATAAGTGCTGTCCAATAGGCAGCACATCAACCAACCAATCACATGTCAATGATGAACTGTGATGTCATTGTTTTTCATCCAATGACTGAGGATCCACGTGGGTCTGCTGAAGCGCCTTTGCATATGCTAGGCTATTCGTATGCTAAGTAGAGTCATTAACACCTGCCGCCAGCCTGCTCCCCCCCGCCAAGGATTCCGCATTCGACAGAATTCGACTCCCGTGAGGGAAAACGTAGACTGTCGATTGCTGTAGATATTTGTCGCTGACGAGCTGAGTTTGCGTCAGAATACAGGGTCAAAAATCCCACTTTTCGTCCAGTGTGACTTTGCCAGGAGGCTCAGCCACCTGGTTTCATGGCCCTTTGAGAATAAATGTGTTCAAGTGGGTTGTTTACAACCCATCAAATATGGAGCGGCAGCACCATTTCTTTGGGATCATTCTTTATTCTATTTTTATGCTAACGTGTAAAATTATTAAACCAAAATTATTTATTTGTAGCACTTCTCCAATCAAGCAAAATTTATTGTCACATTTTACAACAGCAGCAAATGTTTTTAAGTTAAATTTCAGTTTACTTTTAAGATATTTAAGTCAAGTATGATTCAAAATTTTAAACTTGATAGAATGATGAAAAATCCTACTTAAATTAATGGTATTAATATACCATTGTCATTCTAAACTTAATATTTAACCATTAAAATTCCTGTTTTAATCCCTAGACTCCTGAAATATACCCTTCTGAAGTCTGTCATGGTGCCTCGAATGATTAAGTGACGCAGTTGCAAAGGGTTAATAGTTTAAGTCATGCAGAACTGATCTGACCATTTCCCTAGCAACGATCAGAAGCAAGACATTGCCCCAGAACTACAGAGACTCATTGTAGCTATGACCTCATCTATGACATAGATCTATGTCATAGATCAAAGAACATGTGAAGTTCTAAATGCTTGCATCTCAAAACAGAAGGTTATATACAAGTAGCTCTTGGACAATTACCACTAAATTACCACTTTTCAAGAACTTTAAGAATGGCAGAAATTGCAGCCACAATGTTTTTTCCTCTGACGTTTGCCACCGGCTATCTGATAACCACCCGAGTGAGGAAAGTGTTAAACAAAGTACTCCCTGGAATTACTTTTGATATTAATAGTCACAAGGACGTGATCGACTATGATGAGTTTGATTCGCACCTTTTCCTTCCTTCCCCGGCTGGGGAAGTGTACTCTGACAAGAAACGGATCTCTCAAGACGAGTGCCCTGACACAGAATATGATATTTTTGATGAATATCTTTTCAATCCTTCCAAGAGTAGGAAGCAAACTTCAAATTTCAAAAACACACTGGCCAGGCAAAACTCCCCGGATGGGGAAGTTTGCTCTGAGTTTTCAGACCGTAAAAAGGCGTTGGAAGACAATATCCCTGGATCGAACACTGCAGAAGGGACCAATATCTACAGTCTTTCAAAAAAGCAAACTTCCTCATCTTGGGGAGTTTATTATTATGATTCAGCAGGGTATTGTGTGAGTCTTCAGACAGATAAATCTGAAATGAGTCTTCAAAAAGATCCGTCTGAAGACTCATTACAGACGGATCTGTCTGAAGACTTTACCCTGGGAGAGTCCGTCATAGAAGAAAACGGAAGTGAAGAGAAGAGATGTAATGCCGAAAAGGGCAAATATCCACCCAAACGTCGAACTTGCAATTCTTGCTGTCCACCTTCTTGACTGACAGGGGTAGCAGCTTAAGAAGGGAGGTCCAGACTTCCCTCTCCCCAGCAACTTGTACCATGTCCTCTGGGGGAATCCCAAGGTGTTCACAGGCCGGCCGAGAGACATAGTCCAGCGTGTCCTGGGTCTTCCCCGGGGAAGACTCAGGGGCTGGACATACTTCCACTCTGGAGTTGCCCATGATGAGAGGCGCCAGGCAAGAGTGGGCATACTTTGTTGCCACCTGTCTCGGCGCCTGTACGTTGGGGTTTACCCTGGTGAACAAGAGGGTAGCCGCCCTCCCTTATGGGTGGAGGCACGGGTTCTGACTGTTTGTGCTGACGGGCCGAACAGCAGTTCAGATTACCTACCCTTCTTGGAGTCCTTGGAGGGGGTACCGGATAGTGCCCCTCCTGGGGACTCCCTTGTTCTGCTGGGGGAGCTTCGATGCTCACGTGGGCAATGACAGTAAGACCTGGAGGGGCGTGGTTGGGAGGAACGGCCCCCCCGATCTGAACTCGAGTGGTGCTCTGTTGTTGGACTTCTGTGCTCATCATGGACTGTCCATAACGGACACCATGTTCAGGCATAAGGGTGTCCATATGTGCACTTGGCACTGGGACACCCTAGGCCACAGTTCGATGATCGACTTTGTCATCGTTTCATCGGATCTGTGGCCGTATGTCTTGGACACTCGGGTGAGGAGAGGTGCGGAGCTGTCCACTGACACTTCACTGTTGTGTCTCAGTCCAGTCTGTTGTCCAGATGAACACTGAAGTGTTTATATTCTTCAACCACCTCCACT